TAAATGGCACCCTTGGTATTTTTTTACTTTATTCGATAGAAAATGACATTCTGAATAGAATAACATATCATATGCCAACTTTTGACATTCTCGCTTAATAAAAAATCTTATTTTAAAATTCAATCTAGAGTGCCATGGCTATATTAAAAACACTAATTCTTAATCAAGGAGACTTGGAAAAATAAATTTGATCGTCTAATGTTTTTAGTGTCTTGTCCTGGCCAGTTAAAAAATGCTCAAATCGTATTTTTAATCATATCTCAATTTTTTTCAAATGGAACGAGGGTGGCTCATTAGCATATTTGGAAAAGGCATTACGAATAATTTGATACACACTTGGTATTTCAAGTCAAATTTTCGTTACGAACCGTAAGTTATAACTTCAAATAAACCCTATGCGAAAATATCAAAAGTTGACATATGATATGTCATTCAATTCAGAGTGGTATTTTCTATCGAATAAAGTAAAAAAATACTGAGGATGCCATTTAAAAATCAAAAGTTGTAGTAATTTCCGGTGAAACGGAAATTGACCGAAAACAATTGAATCCCTCAATCAATCCTAATTGATGTCATATACTAACAAACCAAATCTCGTTTTTTTAATTGAAAAAATAAAAAAGTTATAGGGGTGAGCCACTTTTCAGACAAATTATTTGTTTCTGTAGCCTCTTTGTAAATTAAAAGTTAAAGTTTCTCTCGTATAGTATACGGTAGGGGGAAAACAAAATTTTTATATTTTGGCTTAAGTTTTAAACACCCTGTGAGATGATATATCAAAGTAAATATTTAAAAAAATGCTCTATCATCAAGTTGCATCTTTTTTTGATATTTTATTTTTTGGGTCACCTCAGTAGCTTTATTTTTGTTGGAGATGTTCTCTTTTCGAAAAGACAGTAACGCTTTGCAGAAATTTTTGCATTAAAAGTATGCTTTTGCTTTTGGTCCCCATCGACACCTTTAAAATATACATAGTTTATTGTTTTTTTAATGCCACGGTCATGGAAAAGTTATCATATTATTTTTTGACAACATACAAATTAAAAAAAATAGCAACATTCAACTTCTGGATTGAAAACTATCTCTTCTTGAGTAACAGCCATCTATCTGCAATAATATGACTTTTAAATGACAGTGATATTAATTGAATAATAAACACTATTTCATAGTTTTGTTGAGACCAAAGAGAACCAAAAATGGCATGCTTTTAATGCTAAAATTGTTATTAATTGTTATAGTTTCTTTCAAAAGCAAAAATCCCCAGAATTGAGAATAGATATATATCTTGAGGATAATTTGGTCTGTATTCTCCACCCATTTACTCTTATCTTTCTCAAGTCCTCTTCTACATCCTTTTTCCATCTGCTTCTCGGTTTATCCCTCCTTCTCTTTCCACCTATTTCACGTCTCATCATCATTCTAGGAACTCTTGATTCAGCCATTCTTTCTATGTGTCCCAGCCATCTCAATCTTTGCAGCTCTTGCTACTCCCGTCGTACTTACTGCCCGATGTAGTTACTTTAATTCTTCATTTGTTCTTCTGGTCCATATGTTGTCTATCTTCTTTCCTCCAAAAATCTTTCTCAGCATTTTTCTCTCCCAAATCTCTAGCCTCGAATTTTCCGTTGCATTGAACGTCCACCTTTCACATGCATACAGCACTGTTGGTCGTATCACTGTTTAGTACATTCTGATTTTTAAGCTTCTAGAGATGTTCTTACTCTTAATAATTTTTTTGTGTGCTAAAACATCTATTTCCTGCCATTATTCTTGCCAAAGTTTCCTGAGTTACATTTGGTTTCCTTATAAATACAGTTCCTAGATATGTGAATGTATCTACTTCCTCAAACTTGTATTTTCCTATTTCTTGACATCTTTCCTTCTTAAAATCCCTATCTGATCATTCCATAAACTTAATTTTCTTCTCATTAAACACTAAGCCTACTTTTTGCGCTTGATCTTCTAGTCTTTTGGTCACCGATATCAGATCTTTCCGATCTATTGCTACGCATTGGTATGTTTTCTATAACAGAAGGCCATCTCTGTAGATTCCCGCATTTTTTATAATTTTTCTAATACTACACTAAAGAGTACTGAAAATATTTGATCTCCCTGTTTTAATCCGTTCATGATTATAAATTTTTCCGTTGTTTTCTTGTTTGCTTTGACTTCATTTATTGTCACTTGAAGTGTCAATTTTATCATCTTGGTCAGTTTCTTGCTAACCCCTAATAACACCATTTAAAAAGCATTTAAAAATAATTCAACCTTTTTAAGACCAACTGGCAGTAAGGGCATTTGACGCCGTTTTTTTCAATCGTATGTTATATTTTAACAAGTAAAATAGTTTAAAAAATAGTAAAAAAGTTTTTAGTAAGACAGGGATGTGTGCTGTCTCCTTCGTTATTTAATGTTTATACTGAGGCGGTTTTTCGGGAAGCTTCCTTTTCAACAGATTGCGGTATTCAGCGGCGAAGTCATTAACAACATTAGATTTGCCGATGACACAGTTTTTATTGCCGACTGTGATACTGGTCTCCAGAGTTTAGTGGAACAACTTGAAGGCTCCTGTAAGAAATACTGGATGAAAATCAATTCCTCTAAAACTAAAGTCATGGTATTTGGAAAGAACCAAAATGTACTAATTCCTATTAAAATAGAGGGCAATACATTATACCAGGTCTACAAGTTCAAATATTTGGGGTCCTGGTTAGTTAACACCTTGAACAACGACGTGGAAATAAAAACCAGAATAGAAAAAGCGAGAAATGCTTTTTTTAAATGAAGAACATCTTTCAGAACCCCAGATTGGACCTTGAGTTGAGAACTAGGCTCATTAAGTGTTATGTTTGGTCAATCCTATTATACGGAGCAGAAACATGGACACTGAAAGTTCAAGAGATGAATCGCCTCGAATCGTTCGAAACATGGATATATCGAAGAATGCTTAAAATTCCATGGACCATATCACAAATACCGTCTACAACAAAATAGGCAGAGAAAGAGAATTGCTTAATATCATAAAAATAAGAAAAACATCATACTTAGGGCATATATTGAGAAATGAAAAATACCACGTCTTACCAAAAAGGAAAAAGAGGTCTCGGCAGGATGAAACTATCTTCGTTGAGAAACTTTTGAAGAACGCATTAGGAAAGCCGAGAATCATGAAGATTTTGCCAATGTGATTGCCAACCTCCACGAAAGAGACTGCACGTAAAGAAGAAGAAGAAGAAGAAGTTATATTTAATATACACACACCGGAAAAATCTAGGGATATAATTTTATTAAAGTTAAAAATAAATGTTTTGAATAAACAACCACATATTTGTAGGCCGATTCTTTCTACTTTGATTGAAACAAAGTAGTCACACTAGTTATTTCTAAATTTGGGATATTTGCAGAAGTGTTTGTGCATTTTTTGTCAAATGTATAAAAAGCACCTAGCATCAATTGTTCGAATTTAACCTGTACTGGCTATGTTTTTATGATAACTGGCCAGAATTCATTCAAATAACTCTGTTTAGTATTAAACGACATTATGGAGCGTAGACATCTTAACAGACACGAAATGCTAAGGGCCATGGGTATGCTCGAAGCTGGAATGCGCCAAATTACTGTAACGTAACTAGAGCATTAAATACAACGCAAAGTGTAATATCGCGATTAAGTGCACGCTACCATGAAAGTGGTGATGTTGCTGAAAGGCACACAGGGCGACATCGCATTACTACCCCTCAGCAAGATCATTTTTTACATTTAAATGCTCGACGCCGACCGACTCTTACAGCACCAGAGCTTAGTTTAATTCTCCAGGAAACACATAATGTAACCGTTAGTCCTGACACTGTTCGCAATAGATTAAGAGAGGTCAATTTAAGAAGCAGACGCCTCTGGAGAGCTCAACCCTTAACGAGAGGAAATCGAGAGGTACGATATTTGTGGGCTCAAGATCATGTTCAGTGGTCAAATGAACAATGGGCCAATGTTCTCTTCACAGATGAGTCACGCTTTGGAATTCATCCGGATTCGAGAAGGCTTAGGGTATGGAGAGAACCGGGAAATCTTATTCGGTTGGATCATGTTCAGGAAGTGCACCCTTATCAAGGTGAAACAGTTATGGTCTGGGGAGGAGTCCAGCTAGGCCGAAAACCCGATCTCGTTTTTCTTGAAAGGTTTCTAACAGGAATCACATATCGTGATTTAATTGTTGAGCCTGTCGTGTTACCATATGCCAATTATTTTGGGAGAAACTTCATTATCATGCATGACAATGCACGGCCTCATACAGCCAGAGTGGTAAGTGAGTTTATCAATGCTCATCAATTAAACATCTTACCCTGGCCGGCACAATCTTCTGACCTCAACCCCATCGAGGACATATGAGGCGCGGTCCAAAGAAGAATTTTGAGCCTCGTGAAACTCGTAGGGATCTGGTTCGGGCCGTGAATGCAGCGTGGCAGGCTCTACCTCAAGAAGAGATCGACAACCTGATCAGGAGCATGGAGAGACGACGTAGGGCTGTAATGAACAGTAGAGGAGGCCATACCCTTTATTAAGTAAAAATGGTTTTATCTTTATAATTCACAGTTTAGAATAAAAAAAATGTGTGTATTTTTTGGGTTCAATAAAAACCAAGGTAAATTTGAAAAATCGGTAAATTTCGCATTTTTATTTCCAATACGTCCTGTAGACTATTTGTTTATTTTAATTTTATTATATCAGAAATGCAAATAATAAAATTACTGACGATGGCTGGATAAAATTGTAATATCCCTAGACTTTTCCGGTGTGTGTATGTGCGACGATATAGGTACTCACAATTTTAAAATATTTTTTTTTACTCTATACTGAAATTGAAATTGTAAATTAAATTTCATAAATAACATTTCTAAACGTGTCATTTAAAATTCTAATGAACACATAGAGATTTCAACACGAATTAAAAATTATTAACAAAATAATTAAAGAAAAAAACTAATTTAAATCTTTCGTTTCAGGTAATTGGGGATACCACAGACAAGGCTCTTGTCAGGCCGGATTCAGTGCCGCTATCAATTCAGTGAGTATTCAGAAATAGATTTTTTTCGAAAAACTATTTTTAGAGTTGTTTTCGTTAGGCCTCTCATAACTTCTCGATTACGGACATCTGCGCCCGTAGATTTAATTGGAATATTTTGATTTCGGTATTATGCTCTCCTTCGACAATACTTTGAAGATTTTGGCCCGTTAAAATATGAAAATATTTAGATTTAGTAATTTTATAGGCTGCGTGAACTAATAAGAAGACGGAATTTTTGATATATTTATGTTTTTAGCATGTAATGATGCAAGAAATCTAGAACAATAGCCTTTCTGCGTATTTTTAAAACATTTAAATTTTGCTCTTTATCGGCCCATTCTATACAGGGTGCTACAAATTCGGGATACCAGCATTGGTATCTCGTTAATAGATAGGTACGAACATGGTTAAATTCAGGCAAAGTTGCGCTTTGGGATATTCACCAAGAGGCCATAAAAGTTTTAAAAATTTCAAGGATTGCTAAGTTTTTGGAAAAAAACGGATTTTTTGAAAATCAATTTTATTTTTTCCTGTTGTTACTTTCTAGAAAATTAAAAAACTAATTACACGTTCTCATAGCCACTTTATTAAGGCTATCTGATAGTATTTTTTCAAGGTAGCTGATAATTTGTGAGATACAGAGGCCAACTTAATTTTTTTAAATACGGACCTGCATTTTTTATTTCAGGTTTACAATATGCATTCGAAAGTATAAGAAGAAAATTCAAAGAGCTATTAATGAAATTGAACGAAAAATAAATTTGTGCAATAGGGACGGTGGTAACCCTTTCGAACATGTAGAGCATTAGAAACTAGTTTGTAGAAGTTGATTTATCTGTAACTACGACTAATATTATGCATGTTATTAAATCGCACACTGAGATTCCAAATTCATACTAAAAAAAAAAGTTAAAAATAATATCTTTAAATTGCTGACCTGGATATTATTTATTTGAATCATCCAAATGGCTCGATTTTCCTTATTCAGTGTTAATTAGCGCTGATCAATATTGTTGCGATGAATAAAATCAGATTACCTAAATAATTTAAAAAACCAGAGTCGGTCTTGAAATTATTTTAATTGAAATGGAATTTGGTTTAAGTATTTATTCTCATTTCCAACTACAGCCTATTGCTGCCTTCCCGTTACCCTACGCCACACATCTCGATTTAGAGAATCATCAGCTTCTAGGTTACGAGCTTCCATTGGTTCCGTAACCGTTCCGTTCCAGGATTTTCTAGGTCTACCTCTCTTTCTTCTGCCCTGGGGAGCCCATTGAAAAACTCTTTTTGGCCACCTGTTCTCCGGCATACGCAGAACATGTCCAAACCATTTTAAGCTGGATTTTTCGATTCGATCTAGTACTGTTTCCTCCGATGCATTCATGATACGCCTGACCTCGATGTTTGTCTTTTTTTCCATCCTAGATATACCTGCACTTCTTCTAAAGTAGTCCATTTCAACAACTTGGATTTTGCGCTTCGCGTCTGCACTCAGAGTCCATAGCTCTGAACCATAGCAAAGAACTGTCTCCACCAATGTTCTTCCAAGTCTCTTTTTAGTTGTTGCAGACAAGTGTCGGTCCCACCAGAGGCTGTTAAGACATCCAATAACTTGTTTGCTCTTCTGAATTCGGGTTTGTATTTCTACTTTGCCCAAACCCTCGTTGTTGATAGTAGCACCCAGGTATTTAAATTTGTCTACTTGTTGAATCTGGACGTTATCATTAATGAAGACTTCAAAACAAGCGTTGGAATTGACAGCTAAGTATTCGGTCTTCTTTAGACTAACCTGAAGTCCCCATTTGTTGTATTCTTGATAAAGCCTCTTAGTCATGAACTCTAGATCGTATCGTCCTGCGCAATCACGACCTGATCGTCTGCAAAGCTCAGTGTAAATAGTGTGTTGTCCCCAATGGGTATTCCCATACCTTGACATTTCGTCTACCATTCCCTAAGGGCTACTTCGACCTAAGCGTTGAAGATCAGAGGAGATAAGCTGCATCCTTGTCGCAACCCTTTTGTGGTGTTAATTGGATTAGATAGCCTGTGTCCTATCTTAACGTACGATTCATTTTCTTTATATAGCTCTTTTATTATCTTAAGCAAAGGTCTATCTACTTCTAAGATCTTCAAGACTTCCCATATCTTGCTGCCGAGAATAGAGTCGTACGCTTTCTCCAAATCAATAAATGCTAGATGGACTTCTTGATCTACTGCTATCTTTTTTTTCATCACCTGCTGCAGGACAAAAAGGTTATCCGTGCAAGATTTCCCCGGTGTGAATCCGCTTTGGTCTTCCGAGATTTTGTCACCAATACTGTCCCTAAGCCTACCTTGTAGCACCTTTCCAAAAAGTCTGCTGACCGAACTGTTAATGCTTAGGCCTCTATAACAAGCGGGGTCGTTACGATTTCCCTTTTTAAAGATGGACACTATGTAAGCCACTCGCCATTCTCGGGGTAGTTTACTTTGCAGGCAGCACTGGTTAAATAGATCTGCCAGACGCCAGCGCAGTCTTTGGGTTCCACACTTTAATAATTCCGCTACAATATTACCAGGACCTGATGACCGCCCATTTTTCATTCGATTGAGACTTTGATGTACTTCTCTTTCGCTTATCATTAAAGTGCCTGCAAGGTTGTTCTCATCTTCTACTGCTTGAAATTCTGGTCGGTTTTCTGTCAGTAATTCTGCATAGTAGTTGCGCCATTTTTCTATATCCATTCTATTCAAGAGCTTTTCCGTTTGATTGGTTTTCATTTGTCGGATTGTTCTCCATACCTCAGTACTCCGTGCACCCCCTATTAGGCTTTCCACTTGCTGACACCTTCTTTCCCAAATATTTGTTTTTCCTACCTTAATGGCGGCTCTCAAAACAAAGAAAAGTATAAAGTATGACAAATCATTGTACTCGGGAGCTATTGCTATTTACTGCAATATGCTGTATGTCCGTCTGTCCGTCTGCCTGTAACACGATAACTCAAAAACCGCTAAACCGATTTTAACCAAATTTGGCACAAAAATACTGTGGCACCCGAGAATCTGGCCATTAGTTTTTGGTGGGAGTGGGGGGTTGGTAAGGGGGTAGTATAGGGGTTTAAACATTTTTAAAAATCGTAACTCTAAAATTACAGTAGCTAGCGAACCGCGGTTTTTAATTTAAGATTAGGAATAATATTTGCAACAAAATTTGTAATAACATCAAAATCAGTCAAAGTCGCAGTTTTTGAGATATTTTTGAAACTAAAAGAACTGCTTACCAACTTTGTATTAACATATTTTAGTATGGGCGCCAATTTTTTAATAGTAGGCCGTGATTGATAATAAAAATAATTATTAGAAGAATACTGCTATGTCTTGTTTTATTTTGGCAGCTACTAATATATTCTTTATATATCAGGGAAACTTAACACCCCACCGCTATTTGTAAATGTTGGAAACAATCTTACAGGAACTTTTAGATATTCCTTTAGCTAATTTACTTGAAATATGCCAGGGGCCCCATGCTCCTGGTCGCAACTTAGAAAATATGAGAATTTCATAAACAACTATTTCCCAAAGCCAAACCAAACCAAATTGCTTATTTTAATTAGATCACCTTATACTTTTTGATTTTTGAATTCTACATGAAATTCTAAACACATTTTAGTAGCCGTTTTTCAATTATTCGTTTCAATAGGAATATTCCCAGAACTTTGCGAAAAAAACGGTATGTAATTAAGTATTCTTTTCTCTGAATTCAATTCTACTTAGCTGTGTAAATCTTTATAAGGACTGTGCCTTTATATAGACTTTGAAAAACTGCCAATGTTAATGTAGGTATACGTAAAGATTTTTCCTAACATCTGACCACAACAATTGTCTTTTATTCATGAAATTTCAAGTAACTTACTAAACGCCAACTTATATGGCAAATATAATAGAAATATTCAATGCCGGTTTGATTGAACCGAACCGACGCCTTTTATGCCGATTGCCGTTAGTGTCTATTCTAAATCGTTATGTATATATTCCGTTCCCACATATCTGCATCCCATGATCTTACCTGCAATGCCCAAGATCTAAGATCAAATGCGCATACGTTTAGTTTATGCCGCATCTAATGAATACTATAATTCGGTTAATCTAAACTTTGAACTATATTTTATGCGATCTATCCTTTGAATAAGAAGACTAAGGAAGGAGCATATCAAAAATCTTAGGTACACCGCGATGGACCTCAAATATGGCCGACTTAAATTCCGGTTTATCAGTGTCGTTCTAATTTTATTTAAAAAATGTAAAACTATGATGTACTCAATAATTTGTTGTTTTATGTTACGTCGTGAATAAATGTTGGTAGTTATTAAAATTGTTATAAAAATATATAATTCTAATAAAAATAGATAAGTTATAATAAGTATTTATTAACACAAACATCCGATACGCTACTGAAGCAGGTAAGTCAAATTAACGTATCTAAATTCTTTGACATCTAATCTTTGACAAGTAATAAATAAAAGCTAAAATGCAAGAAAAATATATAATTTAGTTAATTTAAGTGAATTTCTTAAATGATCGGTTTACTACACGTATGTATATTATACAGGGTGTTTCAAAACAAATGCGAAAAACTTCAGGGGGTGATTCCTTGTTCAAAATAAATGGTAGTTTGCTTTATAAACGTTGGGTCAAAAGTCAACCATTAGGGAGATATCGCGGTACAAAGATGGCGGAAAAATAATGTTTTTATTTTTATCTTGAAAACGAAAGATAGACTAATGAAATTTTACGGAAGCATTACTGTTATGAAAACACACTTTCTGGTATTTTTTCACTTTTTAAATGAGTGGGAAGGGGTTGAAATAAACTACCCTTATCATTCTTGTTAATGAAATTTAAAGAAAAATCTTATCAAACACATGTAAAAAAAATTAATTTTGATAGTTTAGTTTATTTAGAAACTTTTTTTTTATCTCTCTTGTGTTTTTTGATAAAACTCACCGATTTGAAATTAA